GTCGAGGTGGAGTACAGAAATCGATTTTAAGCGCCCTTTAATTCGAAGTAAATGGCTCCGTTGTGTGGACGGGTGAAGGGTTAATTCGAATTAACGCTGCTAAATCCGAATTAATCCCGTAGTGTAGACCAGGCCTTGCATTTTCGTTCTGTGTAACGTCCCGAAGATATGGCCTGAGCTAGCGTCTTTTCTGCCCATCCACACTGCTAAAACTCATGTCCAGGCTCTCCTCCACGCAACACCCTTCCCCTGCCGCGGGGAACTAGCTCAGTGGTTCTCAACTGGGGGACAAAAGTACCCCTGGGAGTACGCCGAGCTCTGCCAGGGAGTCCATCAACTCAGCTAGAGATTTGCCTAGTTTTACAACAGGCTACATACAAAGCACTAGTGAAGTCAGTGCAAACTTAAATTGCATATAGACAATGACTTGTTTATACTGCTCTATAGACTATTCACTGAAATGTAAGTACAAGATTTGTATTCCAATGGATTTGTTTTATAATTGTACGGTAAAATAAGAAAGCCAGCCATTTTTTAGTACTAGTGGCTGTGACACTTTTGTATTTTTATGTCTGATTGTGTAAGCAAGTGGTTTTTAAGTGGGGCTACGCAAGACAAATCAGACTCCTGAAAGGGGGACAGTCGACTGGAAAGGTTGAGAGCCACTGCCCCACATGATTACCCGATTAGCCATGCCTCTGTTGTGAGGGGGTCTCTTTTTAAACTGCTCCAGACTTTTGATCTTCTGGGTCCCAGGTCCTGCTCATCTCACCCAGTTCTGTAAATTGGTTGGAACAAGGAGGGAGAATATTCAAAGCAAATAGTTTGGGCGTTGTCTCTCAACAGCCCTTAAGTGTTTACCAAGGAGTGGCTCGTCTTCAACCCCTCTCCTTGCCTTCCTGTTTCTTTTCCTTTCAGGCCCCCAATTAAACTAAGACAGGAAACATCCCAATCACCAGGTCAACGTACAGTCTCCATCAATATGAGAGAGCAGCTCCAATCCTGTCAAAAAGGGGGTTGAAAAATAGGACCAAGGGACAGCTGAGAAGTGGTAGGTCGGGGAGGAGAGGTTGGGGGGGATCTGGAGCTGCAGGGGATCTCAGTGCATTAACCTGGCCCTATTGATTTAGACCCTGCGTTCCCTTTGTATTAGTCCAGTTTCCCTTTATTTTATGTACTTTTTACAAATATTATTTTCACTTATAAAAATGGCCATACTGGGTCAGCGCAAAGGTCCACCTAGCCCGGTATCCTGTCTTTCACAGTGGCCAATGCCAGGTGCTTCAGAGGGAATGAACAGAACAGGTGATTACCAAGTGATCCATCCCCTGCTGCCCACTCCCAGCCTCTGGCAAACAGAGGCTAGGGACACCATCCCTGCCCATCAATGGCTAGCCTCCATTAACTTATTTAGTTCTTTTTTGAACCCTGTTATAGTCTTGGCCTTCACAACATCCTCTGGCAAAGAGTTCCACAGGTTCACTGTGTGTTGTGTGAAGAAATACGTCCTTTTGTTTGTTTTAAACCTGCTGCCTATTAATTTCATTTGGTGACCCCTAGGTCTTGTGTTATGAGGAGTAAATAACACTTCCTTATCTACTTTCTCTATACCAGTCATGATTTTATAGACCTCTAGCATATCCCCCCTTAGTCATCTCTTTTCCAAGCTGAAAAAGTAACAGTGTTATTAATCTCTCCTTATATCGAAGCCATTCCTTATCCCTCATCATTTTTATTGCCCTTTTCTGTACCTTTTCCAATTCCAATATATCTTTTTTGAGATGGGGCGACCACATCTGCACGCAGTATTCAAGATGTGGGAGTACCATGGATTTATACCGAGGCAATATGATATTTTCTGTCTTATCTATCCCTTTCTTAATGATGCCGAACATTCTGTTCGCTTTTTTGATGCCACTGCACACTGAGTGGATGTTTTCACAGAACTATCCACAATGACTCCAAGATCTCTTTCTTCAGTGGTAACAGCTAATTTAGACCCCTCCTCTCTTCTCCATTGCATAGTGCCTAACCGTGCCCCCCCCCCCATTTCTTCCCTCCCCGCTGGGACCCCAGCCACTCCCCCTGAATCCATATATTCCTCCCAGCCACAGTGTGACCCCTTCCCTGCCACAGATGGGAGCTTTCTTGATGATGTCATCAGTTGGCAGTGAAACTTCTGGGGGCTTGGAGGGCCTCACTTCCCTCTCCCCTGCCTGAAGCAGCCACAGTCTCACTTCCACGCAGGCTTCTCGGGTCTTGAAGTCCGTCCATCCCTGCTGAACTCACGTGGCCTGATCCTGATTTTTTCATGTTCTCTTTTTCTAGAGAAATGTAGTCTGCTACTCCTGGAATAGAGCATCTAATTCCCCAGCTGTCTCCACACCCTGGGGGATTTTCATATCCTCTCCTGTTACACCTGACTTGCTATATTCCTTAATTCCTCAAATGGAACAGGGAGAGGCCGTGGCCCCATCACTTTAACAAACTTTGTACTGGCCACAAAGAGGGGGAAGGGAGAGGGTGGAGAGGAGGGAGTGGGGTTTTGGGGGAAAGAGGCGGTGCAAGGGCTGGGCCTTGGGGGAAGACGCGGCGCAGTGACAGGGCCGGGGGGAGGGGGCGGGGCGGGGGGCAGGGAGAAGGGATGGTGCGAGGGCAGGGCCTCGGGGAGAAGGGGTGGGGCCACGGTTCAAGCGTCCGTGGCCCCCTCACTTTTAGGGACCGTCCGTTGCTCCTGCTTCCCTATCACTCTCATTATCTTTGTTTCTCTCTGTTATTAGAAGCAGGCCCACGGTCACTTCCCCTCTGGCTGGAGTCTTTACTTTCTGGGATATGGAGTTTCTGTCTCTGTGTTTTAGGAGCCCCTTTGCTGAGGAGTGTCTGGCTGGGTGTGTTCCCAGCAGAGATGGGGATAGTTAAATGCCTCATATGCAGATTGTCCTGCACTTTTGAGTACCTGGGGAGCTGGCTGTGGGATTGTACTGCTTTAAAGTGGGCTGGGGTTAAAGTAATAGAATGTTTTTTATAACAAATGGCCTATGAACTCACCTGGTCTTCCTTGTTTTCTTTCCCCTCAGCAGGGTTTTCAGTTTCCAAACCTGACCTGATCTCCCAGCTGGAACGAGGGGAGGAGCCGTGGGTCCTGCATCTCCAGGGTTTAGAGGAAAGAAAGATCCTGAGAGGTGCCTGCGCAGGTGAGGGATCATTAAACCAACACAGTCAGTGCCTGAAGGAAACAGCTGGGATTCCCTACACAGACATTGTGCGTTCTCTGAGTTCAGGATTGTCCTCAGCAGGTGTCATATCTTCAGGGCAGCTATCGCTCATGGCTTCCTGCCCACCCTGACTGACACCTGGCAATAGATCCGTCCCTGAACTCCCTTCCCCCAAGTGTTTGGATGGGATGTGAAGGGAGAATTGATCCCCCTCTACTCTCCCCTATGGGGGAATTCAGTCCCTGATTTATTTTCCCCATCTTTCTGGTATTTATTTTGGTTTGCTCGCCCTTTTTCCAGCCCTGTTTCTGAGGCTTCTCCCTCTATCCCAGCAGGTGCTGGGATGGTGAGTGAGAACAAGGAGCAGAATCCTCAGCAGGAAGATACTGAGCAAGTGGAAGCACATGTGGCATTATTGCAAAGACCCAGAGGGAACCTGTTCAGAAGCCATGAGCAGGGAAAAGCCAGTGAGAGTCAGCGCAGGCCAGAGAGGCTGGAGGGAAACCAGCCAGAGGAAAACGTGAATAAATCCATTAATTGTCAGGGAACTCACAACGACCTCAAGGAAACCACAGCCCAGCAGAGACTCCCCACAGGAGAGAGAAACAACACATGCACTGAGTGTGGGAAAAACTTCAGTTGCCGCTCTGGCCTTATTAAGCATCAGAGAATTCACACAGGGGAGAGACCCTACGAATGCGGTGAGTGTGGGAAAACCTTTGTTCGGAACTCACACCTTGTTACGCATCAGAGAATCCACACCGGGGAGCGACCCTATGAATGCTGCGAGTGCGGGAAAAGCTTCAGTGACAGCTCAGCCCTTGTTACGCATCGAAGAACCCACACTGGAGAGACGCCCTACGAGTGCCAGGAGTGTGGGAAAAACTTCACTCGGAGCTCCAACCTTATTATGCACCAGCGAATCCATACGGGAGAGAGACCCTACGAATGCTATCAGTGCGGGAAAACCTTCGCTCGGCGGTCGAACCTGATTAGACATCAGAGGATCTATACAGGCGAGGGTCCCTATATATGCGCCGAGTGTGGGAAAACATTCCATCAGAGCTCGGCCCTTGTTTATCATCAGAGAATCTGCAAAGGAGATAAACATTGCGAAAACCCTGTCTAGGGCTGGCAAAAGAGTTTTTTTCTTTTGTCCTCTAAGACTTTTGTTAATTCCCACATATTGACTTTTAAGCTATCTGGCCCCTTTGCTTCACCGTGTTCTCTCAGCTCCCCTAGGCAAGTTGCCTGCTTTTGCAGTTTGCCCTTTTCTGGGTGAATCCTATGGACCTGTCTATCAATTCCATTGTCCTTTGAGTCTTGGAAGTGTGTGTATGTTCCATCTGCCAGAGGTGTCCATTAGCCCCCAATGGGAGAGAGAGGGGTGACCTCAACTAGCTAAATCTACCTGGGCCTCATGTCCCCTAGGCCAGTGGTTCTCAAACTTTTTTTTTTTCCCCACGGACCACTTGAAAATTGCTGAGGTTCTCAACAGACCACTTAATGGTCTTTCCAAATGTTGTTTTTACTATTAGCTAACTATTGGAAAGCGCTTTGGATAAAAGTGCTATATAAAAAAAAATAATAATAATTAACATTTTTTTGTTCTACAAATAAAAGCACACAACTCACATTTTAGTATCAGTAGTCTTACCTTTCTAATGCGATGGATGTGCCCTCTCTCCCCCGCTGCGGCAGCCCCCGAGCTGGAGCTGGGAAGGAGGGCTGTCTCTCCTCAGCAGCCGCAGCCCTGGAGCTGGGAAAAGTCGCCTCTTTCTCTGGCCACCACAGCCCTTCACTCCCAAATTCCCCCCATCCCCTCTTCTCACTGCACTTCCCCCTCCCACCTCCCCCCATTCTCCCCAAGGCCACCACCTCTTCTTACATGTGCGTCTTCTCCAGGGTCCAGGCACCTAATTCGTGGAGCCACGCCTGTCCACTGATTAGGTGGGTGGCCCTTCATTCTCTTGTGTGTGGCCGGTCAGGCGCTCACCTGAGAGGGAACTATCCATGGACCACCTGAATGGAGCTCACGGACCACAGTTTGAGCACCTCTGCCCTAGAATTTTCCTTGGACTTAGCTAGCTGGAGTTAACTATCGTGACGTAAAAAACACAACTATTCTTGCTGGCAGGACCCCTGGCCTGATTTTATGACCTATGACCTGCCTTGTGTCTCCTGGGTGATTTTATGCTTGCTAGGGGTAAAATGACATTATGGGAGTGTAAGATTGGTAGGGGTGCATCACTCATTAGCTTGGCACTTGTGGGGTGAGGAGGGCAAATAGATGAACATAAGTGAATGGGTTATTAAGCTTGCTACAGTTAAGGGCCTATTCTAGTAGTTTAAGGCTTTGTGGGAGTAGTTATGCTAAAGGCTGGGATTTAGCAAAATAGGGTACGCCGAAGGAGATAATCCCAGGTCAGATATTTTGAACACTCATATTTGGAAGCAAACGAGTGACTGCAACCAGGGATAGCACCCCACAGCATTCTGCAAGAGGGGAGGGGGCATTAGCAACTCAGTTGCTATGCAGCAACTAAGCAGTTAGACCGCATTGATCAATAGGAGTTATTAAGAAATAAGTGATGCAAATCATGAATATTGATACTTGACACTTAATTCTGGACACCCACAAAGGCCACAGAAAGCAATTATGGACCTTGTTATAACCAGGGTAAAGGATCAAATATGGTATAAAGCCATACACTTACCATAAGGAAGGGTATAAAATGCCATACCCAGTTCCCATTTTTCTCAGTTCGTTGGGTCCCTGAGACAGTGTAAATGGAATCAGGACCTCCCTTCTGGTGGGCTCCACCTCTGTTGCTAATAGTCTCTTTACTTGCAAGAGTGTGTGTACTGTATGTACAATGAAATATAAGAATAAGGTCAATACAGATGCTCCCCGAGTTACATAGACCCAACGTACGCAAATCCGAGCTTACGGAAAAAGTTCCATAACCTAGAAATAGGAGTTATTTATTTATTTATTTATTTTGCATAATGGTCCGAGATACGTTTCCGACTTACGCAAAATTCAAATTATGCGAGGCGTTCCAGAATGAAATGCTTGCGTAAGTCGGGGAGCATATGTATGTTGAGCCTGTCTTGTGATTTCAGTGATAGTTGTCTATATGATATAAAGTTTCTGTGTGTGTGTGTGTGACGGGGTTGGGACTCACCACCTGGCGCCTCCTACTGGTTGTCTCGGGAATTAGCTCAGTCCAGTGGAGCGCCCCCTCCTGGTGGTGTCCCGACCGTCATCTCGCCCTCAGTTGGCGTGTCTGAGCCCACATCGCTCACCAACTCGCGGCGTCCTCTTCAGGACCACTGCCCTCCGGCAGTGCCCCTCAGTCCTTCCACACCCCCTTCCGGGGGGGTGTGTCAATCGGCAGTCTCTATGTTCCCACCACCGTTGGCTGGGTGTATTGCAAGGGGGGTAGGGGGGAACCCAGGCCCGCCCTCTACTCTGGGTCCCGACCCAGGGACCCTCTGGCGGCAGCCTCGCTGTCCTTCTTCTCTCCCCTCGTCTGTCCGCTTCCCTGGGCCGCTTCCCCTACAGCCCCTTGCACCCGCTAGGCCCTTCCACTCAGGGCCTGCAGCCTGGCAGGCCTTAGTCTAGAGCTCCCCTCTGCTCCCTGAGCCTGTCCAGCACTGCGTGTCCGTGGTGCTAGTCTCCCAGCTTGGAGATAGACCTTCCCCTCTCAAAGGCCTGGGACAGACTGACTGCTCTCTCCCTGTGCAGCCTTTTATAGGGCTGAGCCTGACCCTGATTGGCTGTCTCCAACCTGGGCCCGGATTGGCTCTCAGTAAGCCCTTTTCTCATTGGCTGTGCGTCTGCGCAGGCCCACTGGCCTGCCGCGGCCCATAATCTCACGGAGTGGGGCAGCCGCCCCACTACAGTGTGTTTCACTAAACTCCATCTTCTCAATTAACTTGACGGAGCAGCCTAGGAAAAGAACCTGTTATCTGTGACAAGTGCATGCTGCACCCCAATACATTAAGTGTAATATGATGTTTCCCCATCACCGGACCTAGCCTCCATCACTTTTCCTAGTCTAAACAAACCTGGAGCATCACATTTATACTTCTCCTCCCTCTGCAAAGCAATTTTTAGAGTCATCAGCTTCTCCCTTTGGAAACAGATTGCCTCATTCTTCTTCTAGTGATTGCACTTGTCAATTGGACTTCAAGTGGTGCTATAATTTATCCGGCAGATGAGAGCTGGTGGGGGAGGAATTACACAGTGATAAAAGATTATTTAATTGTAGCCGAGATGATATAACTGGTTGTCAAAAAACAACAACAAACTATAACAGAGGTTTTATTTAAATCGGAACAAACAGAACTGGATTCCACCAGCCTATAATACTGTTAAATGGAAGAAGAAAGTAAATCATAAAAAAATAAGTTTGAACGAGGGCTGTCAATTAATTGCAGTTAACTCACGCGATTAACTCAAAAATTAACTGTGATTTTAAAAGTTTATCGCGATTAATCGCACTATTAAACAATAGAATATCAATTGAAATTTATTAAATATTTTTGGATGTTTTTCTACATTTTCAAATATATTGATTTCTATTACAACACAGAATACGAAGTGTACAGTACTCACTTTATATTAGTTTTTATTACAAATATTTGCACTGTAAAAATGATAAATAAAAGAAATAGTATTTTTCAGTTCACCTCATACAAGTACTGTAGTGCAATCTCTATTGTGAAAGTGTAACTTACAAATGTAGATTTTTTTTTGTTACATAACTGCACTCAAAAACAAAACAATGTAAAACTTTAGAGCCTACAAGTCCACTCAGTCCTACTTCTTGTTCAGCCAATCGCTAAGACAAACAAGTTTGTTTACATTGACGGGAGATACTGCTGTCTGCTTATTTACAATGTTTTTAAGGCCCGGCTTGACAAAGCCCTGGCTGGGATGATTTAGTTGGGGTTGGTCCTGCTTTGAGCAGGGGGTTGGACTAGATGACCTCCTGAGGTCTCTTCCAACCTTAATCTTCTATGATTCTATGAAAGTGAGAACAGGCATTCACATGACACTTTTGTAGCCGGCATTGCAAGGTATTTACGTGCCAGATATGCTAAACATTCGTATGCCCCTTCATGCTTCAGCCACGATTCTGGAGGACATGCTTCCATGCTGGTGATGTTCGTTAAAAAAATAGTGTGTTAATTAAATTTGTGACTGAACTCCTTGGGGGAGAATTGTATGTCTCCTGTTCTATTTTACCTACATTCTGCCATATATTTCATGTTATAGCAGTGTCAGATGATGACCCAGCACATGTTTGATTTACAAACACTGTCACTGCAGATTTGACAAAATGCAGATAAGGTACCAATGTGAGATTTCTAAAGATAGCTACAGCACTCGACCCAAGGTTTAAGAATCCAAAGTGCCTTCCAAAATCTGAGAGGGACGAGGTGTGGAGCATGCTTTCAGTAGTCTTAAAAGAGCAACATTTTGATGTGGAAAATACAGAACCCAAACAACCAAAAAAGAAAATCCATCCTCCTGCTGGTGGCATCTGACTCAGATGATGAAAATGAACATGTATCAGTACACTCTGCTTTGGATCGTTATCGAGCAGAACCCATCATCAGCATGGACAGATGTCCTCTGGAATGATGGTTGAAGCATGAAGAGACATATGAATCTTTAGCTCATCTGGCACGTAAATATTTTGCGACGCTGGTTATAAGAGAGCCATGCGAATGCCTGTTCTCACTTTCAGGTAACGTTGTAAACAAGAAGCGGGCAGCATTGTCTCCTGCAAACGTAACCAAACTTGTTTGTCTGAACGATTAGCTGAAGTAGGACCGAGTGGACTTGTAGGCTCTAAAGTTTTACATTGTTTTATTTTTGAATGCAGTTATTTTTTTGTACATAATTCTACATTTGTAAGTTCAACTTTCATGATCAAGAGATTGCACTATAGTACTTATATTAGGTGAACTGAAATATACTATTTCTTTTGATTTTTACAGTGCAAATATTTGTAATAAAAATAAATATAAAGTGAGCACTGTACACTTTGTATTCTGTGTTGTAATTGAAATCAATATACTTGAAAATGTAAAAAACATCCAAAAGTATTTAAATAAATGGTATTCTATTATTTGAACAGAACAAAGTAAGTCACCAAGCAAAATAAAGCAAAAACACACAAATCTAAGCCTAATACAGGGGTGGCCAACCTGTGGCTCCGGAGCCGCATGCAGCTCTTCAGAAGTTAATATGCGGCTC